CCACTAAGCCAAACCATAGGGCAAAGTCTTGGATTTTTAAATTACTCTAGTATGTGTGGGGATTTTTTTGTACTTTATAATATAGCCATGCTTTTTGGTGTGTTTTTTTAATATTTTTTTTATTTTTTTTTTACAGAAAGGAAGGGACAGAGATAGAGATTAGAAACATCGATGGCAGAAACATCGATCAGCTGCCTCCTGCACACCCCCTTCTGGGGATGTGCCCACAACCAAGGTACATGCCCTTGACCGGAATAGAACCTGGGACCCTTCAGTCCACAGGCCAACACTCCATCCACTGAGCCAAACCAGTTAGGGCTATAGTCATGTTTTAACAGTAATAGCTAACACTTAAATAGCACTTATGATACACCGGACATTTTTCTATTAAGTCATTTACACAAACTACATTTTTACCATAATCTCATAAGATAGGCACTGCTACTACCCTTACAGAGGAAACCGAGGTACAGAGAGGTCAAGTAATCCTAAAGTCATGCAGCTAATGAATGATAGAGCCAGGATTTAATCCATCTAAGTGTGGCTCAGAGAAGGTGCTATGGATAACTATACTTTAATATTGAAAAGCATTGTCATAAATAAAACTGACACTCCAGAAAGCAGCATTGTGTTTTGTCCCATGGTTTCAGCATCCCCAATGCATACCATCAGAGATCTGAAAACTACTGATACTTGAGGACGGATGTGCCAGCCTTGGCCTAAGAATAACATGACCAAGAAAGGAATTCCGACTCCCGACACCCAATAATAACACAGGACTGGCCTAGAGCCAGTGGCATTTCCTCAAAAATTCAAGACTCCTGGATGAGCCAATAGAGAGCAAGTTAATCAGGAAATGACACAGAGAAGCAAAGTGAGGGCTTTAAGGTCACTGAACAGCTGAAATGTGTGGCTGCCGATTTGTAGGAAAGAACCTAACTAGCATCCTACCTTCTTATTTCCCCCAGAGAGTCTGTAGGAGGCAGATGTGAAAGGACTAAGACCCTAGATGTTACTACTAGAAGCCAGGATAGACGTGTACATTCTGGGTTATTTCAGATGCAGCTGTCAGACACCAAATATCAACAGGAGTTTTGTAATAGAAAAGTCCACAATGGCTTCAAGTACAGCTGTTTCCTTCATTATCAGTTAAGCTCCTCCCAAAAGTAGCAAGATACCCAGGAACAACTCTGTTTATGACCTATTTGCTTAGCCATCTCAGAAGTTAAAATTATTTCCCAATACTTCTAGCAAAGATCCTAGGGTTATGTCACATTGGCTGTGTTAGGCACTAACATCCACCCCACAAACACACACACACACACACACACACACACACACACGCACGCACACAGCCAGTCACTGTCCCTGGACTGGCAGGAATGGAATGCTTTGATTCAACAGGACAGGGGCATCTGCCCACATTGGACCTGCAGAGTAAAGCAGCCCCACAAAACCTCATGAACTGAGTGGAGGGAAGGGTACTTCCCCCAAGAAAATCATAGGTTTCTTAACAGAAGAAATGAGTAGATGCTGGGCAGGTAAAATCAATAGTCAACCTGTACAAGATGGGAGGGAGCCACAGATAATGGGTCACATGCAAAACAGTTCATTTGAACAAACTCTTACCCTGGGTTGTATGAATGCCCTGAAAGCAATTTGGCAAACATTTACTGAGTATTTACCATGTACAAGGTACACCACCTTCCACATAATAAATGCACAGCAAGACAGTCCTCTGCTGCCATCCTCAGTAAGAATTACCAGACTCAAGCTATTCCATCTTATCTAATAAAAGGCTAATATGCAAATGAACTGAACAGAGGAACAACTGGTCGCTATGAGTAGCACTGACCCCCAGGGGGCAGACGTGCAACACCGGAGAGCTGCTTAGCCAGAAGCCACGGAAGCCCTAAGGATGTTTGACTGTTGGACATCCTCTGAGGGCTCCCAAACTGCAAGAGGGTGCAGGCTGGGCTGAGGGGCCCTCCCCTCCACAGGTGCATGAATTTCATACATTGGGCCTCTAAGAGTATAATGAGCAAACTGCTATTCATCTCAGAAACCAGCTCTGATGTCACCTCCCAGGAAGCCTCTTGCCTATCATCCCTGTCAGAGTTAGTCACCTTCCATCCATCTCTGAACTTGATACATACTGATATTATCACCCTGTACCATAATTATTGATTCTTCTCTCCGTCTCCCCAAATAGTGAGTGGCGTCTCTGTATCTCTAGTGCCCAGGATATACCGTATTTTTCGGAACATAAGACGCACTTTTTCCCCCCCAGAAGTGGGGGGGAAAAGTCCCTGCGTCTTATGGTCCAAATATAGCCTACACATATACTTTGAAAAAAAAGTTTTTTTACTTGCCCGGCTCTGTGTGGTCTCTGTGTGCTTGCCCGGCTCTAAAATGGTTCTAAATGCTGCTGTTTACTTTACAGGGTTGATTACATGTGTTTATGACTGTGATGTTGCGTTTTAATGCACATAAAATATTTTAGGACACTATTTGTTTCAGAATCTTTTTTTCTTCATTTCCCTTCTCTAAAAACTGGTGCGTCTTATGGTCCGGAGCGTCTTATGGTCCAAAAAATACGGTAATAGATGCTCCAAAAAGTTTATTGACCTGATTTAAAATGAGTTCCCAGGTATGGCTTGGCCTCAGGCTTCTATAGAATATTCCTGAAACTATTTACCTTCCCTTCTCAACAGGCATTCCTTTCAAGAGTCCATTTGCCATTATCTCAATTCCACTGAATTAATACTTACTTTGAATGCCTATCATATGCCAGGTAGAATTAGGCTTTAAGGACTCAGAAATTAATGAGATACATTTCAATTGTAGTGCTCTAAAGAAGCCAGACTAGCTCTCCTACCAGGATTTCTTTAGCCGGGAAAACAAATATCTGCCCTGGTTTCTCTCTGCTTGTGACTTGGTCATTCTCCTGGCCCCACCCAACCCCATCATTTCCAGGCCTTTTCCCCCAGAAGGAAAGACCCGACTTGTAAAATCTGTAACAGATGTGGATGTGTGGAATTAAGCTCCACATTTCCATTTTTCTAGATTAAAAACCTTGACGTAATCCTTGATCTTCTCTCCCACACATCTATCCATCTGTCAACAAATCCTGTTGACTTTCACTTCAAATCCCAATTCCAACCATGTCTCACCACCTTACCCAATCTGATACCAACCATTAACATCTCTTGCTAAGGTCATTGCCATATAGGTTCATGTCTGGTCTCCCTGCTTCCATCCTTGTGACCCTACAGTCTGTTCTCACAGAGCAGACCAGAGTCTTTAAAAATGGAAGTTCAGCCCTGGCCAGGTAGCTCAGATAGTTCAGATGTTGTCTGATACACCAAGACTGTGGGTTAGGTCTCAGTCAGGGCACATACAAGAATCAACCAATGAATGCACAAATAATCAGAACAATAAATAATTCTCTCTCCCTTTCTCTCTCAAAAAAAATCAATAAAAATGGAAGTTCAAACCCTCCAACTACTCCCCATCTCATTCAGAATAAAGCTAAACAGTCCTATGTTTCATCCTTTCTCATATCCTGATCTCTTGTCTATTCCGTCCAAGCCACACTGGCCTTCTTTTTTTTTTTTTTTTTTTACAGAGAGGAAGAAAGAGAGATAGATAGTTAGAAACATTGATCAGCTGCCTCCTGCACCCCCCCCCCCCCACCGGGGATGTGCCCACAACCTCAGTACATGCCCTTGACCGGAATCGAACCCAGGACCTTTCAGTCCGCTGGCCGACGCTCTATCCACTGAGCCAAACTGGTTTCAGCCACACTGGCCTCCTTGCTGTTTCTTGTTTGGAGGTTCTAGCAGGGGAGCGCAGCTACTCGTATACCCTTGACCGAAGACCGGTCGTCCTCTTCGACGGAGCGCGCAGCTTCGGGAGGGACGCACATGGAACGGTGAGGGAGGAGGGGGACACCCGCCTAGCCAGCCAGATCAGCTGAATCAACCCTGGCGATCAATGGGGTGACAGATGTCGCAGCCAGACCGCCCTCACATCCTCCTTGCTGTTTCTTCAACACACCAGGCATGCATGCTTGTGCCTGAAGGCTTTTCCGCTGACTTCCTCTGCCTGGAATGCCCCCTTTCTCTGGATATATGCATGACTAACTCACTCATTTCCTTCATGGGTTTGCTCAAAAGTCACCTCAGTGAAGCCTACTCTCATTGCCTTGTATAGAATTGCCACCTGCCATCCCCTTTCTTGTTTTCTCCACAGCAATCATCCCTTTCTAACACACTCCGGAATTTACTCATGTAGTGTCCATCTCCCAGGACTGTAAGCTCTGGACGTCAATGAAATATCTACTCACTCAAAACTGCAGCCTTGGTGTATCAGACATGCTCTAACCAACCGAGCTGCCTGGCCAGGGCTGAACTTCGTTATGTGCCAAGCACTGTGCTGAGTGATGGAGCTACCAGGTGATGATTAACACAGCTTATAAGTCTCAGGAGGGAAGAAATCATAACACATGTAGCTCCTTTATTGAATGCTTCCTCTGTATTAAGTGCTTGACATACATCACCATAGTGATAATATTAACATTTATAAAACAGACTCTGTTCTACATGCATTATCTCATTTCACCCTCACCAAGACCTATCACATGAATATTACCAGCCTCATTGGGAAGGACAAGAGACAGGATTTCAAATCAAGGCTGGGAACCGGCAGAGTCAGGGTTTGAACAGGGAGGGGCAAGGGGAGTAGGGTCAGCTGTGAGAAATACTTAGATCTTAGGATGGGCAAGGCTACGTACGTAAAAGATTAGACGGGAACTAACTCCCAGGTTTGGCTGGAGGGGACCAAAGAGCCATAAGGCCGAAGAGAAAGGCGGCGGCCCCACTTGGAAGGTGTGGGGTTTGAGGAGCCTGTGAGCCGCTCAAGGATGCAGTCAGTCCATCTCCGGCAGGAACTGGCGAGCCCGGAGGCGGGTTCCGGCCCCCTCCTTCGGGCCTGAGAGATGCCCGGGGAAGGCGCGCACCAAGGATCAGGCCGCGGGCTCCCCTGCCTCTCGGGTTTCTCCAGCAGCAGCTGCAGGAAGGGCGTGGGGGACGGCGAGACAAAGACCCCGCAGGCCCCGCCTCCGCCCGGGCGGCCCCTTTAAGAGGCGCGCCCCCCCGCCGCTGGCCCGGCCTCGTATGCAAATACGGCGGCGCGGCGGGCGCGCGCGGCCGATCCCGGGCCCGGGCTGCGGCGGTTAGTCCTCTCCCGGCCGCCGTCCCTCCGACATATTGCCCGCAGGAGCTGCGGCGGCGGCGAAGCGGAGCGCGCCGGGGGGCGGAGATGGGTGAGCGGCAGAGCGGGCCCGGCGGGGCCGGGGAGCGGGCGGCGCGGAGACGGGGATGGCCGGGCTGCCGAATGGCTCCCCACGCGGACCGGAGCCCCGCATGGGGCGGGGGAGGGGACGCGGGCGCAGGGGGACCCCGCCCCCTCCTGTCGTTTTGCGGGGTGGGGCCTCCTGTGGGGGCGGGGCGTCTGAGGGGCGGGGCTTCTCCAATGCGGGGTGGGGTCTTGTGGCGGATTGGGCTCTGGTGAGGCTGGGCCCGGCGTGGGCGGGGCCTGGTCTGGGGGCGGGGCCTCGGGCTGTGGGACCTGGGGCGGGGGCACCCTTCTGGGCTGTGGGGGGCCTTCTCCTGGGAGCGGTGGGGCGGGAAGGAGACCTAGACTGAGGGAACCCCACTCTGGAGCGGGGCTTCTGGGTAGACGCCGCTTTTATGGGCTCGTGGGCGGGTTTTCTGGGCTGACAATTGTGTGTGTGTAGGCGGGACTTCTGGGCTGAGGGGTGCTTGTGTGGGTGCAGAGCTTCTAAAGAGAGGAGACTAGGTCTGGGCAGAGCTTTGGGGGTGAAGGTATTTGTGTGGGGTGTTCTAAGCCGAGTATCATGGTGTGTGAGCAGAGTTTCTGGGCTGGGGGCTGGGGGCTGGCGGAGGGGCAGAGTTCGAGGACAAGTGCTTTGTGGAGACGTGTGGGAAAAGCTTTCAAACTGAGGAACTAGGGCAAAAGGTGTGTGTTGTGTAAGCTGCTGTGTTGCCCTGAAGGGATACAAACAAGGCTATAACCTTGACTAGAACTGAGGTGGTGCTTCTAAGCAGGATGGAGCCCGGGGACTTGGGCTAGACGGCTATGGCTAGAGAAACAGATTGTGGGTCCAAGTTTGGGTCCACAAGCACACCATTCTCCCAAAGCCACATCCTTGGCCCTGTGCCCAGGCCCTGGGTCTCAACCGTAAGACACCAGGATGCCCTTTGAGCCGGATCTCAGGTCCTGGAGGAAAAAACTTCAAGACTGCCTAGAATCGTAAGCCTGCAGAAACCGGGTAGTATCGGAATGGATCAGCATACACCAGAGCTAAGAGCACAGGACCCAGACCCCAAACCGCCTGTGACACAGTATAAACTCCGTTTCCTAATCTATGGAAAACCTACCTTGCTGGTGTCATCACTCATCAATATATATTTATACTTACTGCTCATTTACTTAATGCTGGGCACTGTGGTAGGGGGAGGGAATACAATGGAAAAAGACATAAATATAGTGACCTCACTGACCTTCCAGACTGGTGGGTAAGACAGACAATAAATATGTTAACAACTGAATAAGAAAAATTCCAAGAGTGAATTGTGGTGGGGGTGGTGGGAATGAATTATGAAGCTGATACTTCCAAAATGGCAGTCAGGGAAGAGCTTTCCAAACAGAGGATACAGCAAGTACAGGAGGTAGCAATAAGCTTGGTTCGCTTAAGGGGAGAGAGGCCGGGATGGCTGAGGCACGGGGCAGGCAGAGAATGGTAGGCGAGGTCGAAGAGGTAGGCAGGAGCCAGACCATAGGTCTCTGTGATTAAATGGTGAAGTGAGACAGCAGGTAAACTGGTAGCCAGTATCATTGCTGTTATCCTTGGCATACACCCTTTGGCTTGAGGATTTACCTTATTTGAGTTCCACAGGAGGACGAAGAGGTCCCAACAGGACATCCTACTGTCGTAACCCGCTGTGTGAGCCAGGGTCCTCCGGGGGCTCTGGCGGGGGCCACGCTTCCAGCGCATCTGTCACCAGTGTCCGTTCCCGCACCAGGTAAACTGCCTTCCTGTGTCTTGCCCCTCACTGTGGGCTCACGGGAATAGTAAGAACGAAGCTGTCCCTGACTGAGCTCCAGGATGTGATGCCCCAGATGCCAGAAGGGGGCTCAGAAGGCAGCAGAAAAGACCTAGAGAATGGTCAGCTGTACAGTTGCAGTGGGACATCCTATATAATAAAAGGCTAATATGCAAATTGAAAGAATGGTGGAACGACCAGTCGCTATGACGCACACTGACCACCAGGAGGCAGACGCTCAACACAGGAGCTGCCCCTGGTAGTCAGTGCGCTCCCACAGGGGAGGTGCCACTCAGCCTAAAGCCCTGAGCCAGGTAGTCGGACATCCCCTGAGGACTCGCAGACTGCGAGAGGGTGTAGGCCGGGCTGAGGGGACCTCCCCACTCTCCACCCCGCCCCCAGCCGAGTTCACACATTTCATGCACCGGGCCTCTAGTAGTGTAATAAATCCAAAGGCCTGGATTCTAGTTACAGTTCTGCTGCTGATTTGCTGGTGTGACTTGGACAAGTTATCTCCCCTCTTTGGGCCTCCTATTTTCCTCGTCTGTAAAATGGACCTAATAAATTTTTTCTTCCTGGGGAATGTTGGGAGGCCTGAACAAGAGTAGGGATAGGAAAAGGCTCTGCCAATCCCTATGTCTGACATGTAGGATAAGGACTCCATTCCAGCCATGAACTGCTTTTCTGATCCTACCCCGCGATTCTGTGCCTCAGAAGCCCTTCTTGGTAGGGTTCTCGGGTCAGCTCCTGACGTTTTCCCTTCCTGTCCCCAGGAGCAGTTCTGGGGCGGGCCTCTCCAGCCCCCCACTGGCCACCCAGACAGTCGTGCCCCTACAACACTGCAAGATCCCGGAGCTGCCCGTTCAAGCCAGCATTCTGTTTGAGTTACAGCTCTTCTTCTGCCAGCTCATAGCCCTCTTCGTTCACTACATCAATATCTACAAGACAGTGTGGTGGTACCCACCTTCCCACCCGCCCTCCCACACCTCCCTGGTAGGTGTCCAGCTAGGACCACCCATGCATGTGTGTGTGTGTGATATGTTTGGTTTCAGTTTAGCACAGCTTACCTAGCACCCTGTAGGCTTGGCCTCATGCTGGGCAAGGGAAGTGTAGAAAGAACAGGAAACTGGTGATTCCTGAATACTAATGTGCCCGACACCACACTAGGTGTTGTAAAGGTAGAGATGAATCTGACAGATTTTGCCTAAAGGGGCACAGTCTTAAGTCCCGTGGGGGAGATGACCCATGGACATCTGTGAGTGTTTCGAGGAGTGGAAGGGTCTCCATGCAGAAGGAGAGGCTCAGGGACAGGGGTGGGGTGATTAGGCCAAGAGGGCTCACACACCACTCTCTCATCTCCAGGGACATTCCCACTTCCCTCCTCTGGGTCCTGTTCTACTCTAGATAATTTCCTGTCCTGACTCAGCTGGAGGCCCGTGAAGGTCAGAGAGTGGGGATAGTCCCTATGGAAAGGTCTGGGCAGGGGGAGGTGGATATCAGAAAAGCTTGTATATGGGCAGGGGGCCCACGTGACCCCCAGGCCTCTGCCCCTGACAGAACTTCCACCTGATCGACTTCAACTTGCTGATGGTGACCGCCATCGTACTGGGCCGCCGCTTCATTGGGTCCATCGTGAAGGAGGTGATTGGGTCCGAGAGGCTGGGGACTTGGGGACCCCCTTTCCCCTGGGGGTGCCAGGGTGATACGTGGAGCCCTTCAGACTTGAGGCATTTCCTTGGGGCTCCCCTTGGACTTGGTTGAAGAACATGATTCACATCCCTCTGGCTGTTAGAGTTTAATGAGTGTCGAGGAGGGCTCACTTTGCCAGGATCTGCCGAGGCTGCTGCCCTGGGTGGGATCACAGGCCATGCTGGGAGGGATTTGGGCACAGCCTCTGTGGCCTTCAGCCAAAGCCCCATCCGTCCTGTCTCACCCTGACCCAGGCTTCTCAGCGGGGGAAGGTCTCCCTCTTTCGCTCCATCCTGCTGTTCCTCACCCGTTTCACCGTTCTCACGGCAACAGGCTGGAGTCTGTGCCGCTCCCTCATCCACCTCTTCAGGACCTACTCCTTCCTGAACCTCCTGTTCCTCTGCTACCCGTGAGTACCCCTCATGCACCCCTCACTGCCTCACACCTGGCTCCTGACCTTTGTCCGGTGCAGCTGGGTCAGCAGGTCCCCACACCTGAAGGCAAGGCAGCAACAGTATTCTCTCCACATTGTCAGACAGTATCGCCCTGAGATCAGAGTGAGTGGCCTTCCTTCCCAGGAGCAGAAACTGAGGTAATTTACCCAAGGTGCCACAAGGCAGAGGTCAGAATAGGACTCCCATCTGAGTGTATATCCCAAAGGGAGGTTCCTGAGGGAAGTTCATATACATTGTCTCCTTTCTTCCTTTCCTCTCTCTCTGGTTCTCTCTCTGTCTCTGTATATATCAGTGTTTATGTAAGCTCTTGATGCCCCCTGTATTGATTTAAATTTTCTTTATTTTTTATTTTTATTAAATTATTATCTGTGTATGATTTAAGTTTCCAACAGTTGCCTAAATTTGACCCTTTCTACAATAGTTATTCTCCAGTGAGTCCATTCTCCTCGTACACAGACATTATCTCATTGTTCACATTTATATCTCGAATTATTTTTTTTACAAACATAATACTACATATGTATCTCATAAAAAAATCAAATACAGCAGGCTAAAAGCTTATAATGAAAAACAGCCTCCACTCCCCCCCCCCAGAGTAGTCCCACTTCTCAAAAGCAATCTCTGTCGCTGTTTCTGGTGTTAAATGTTTTTCATGTTACCGCCATAATTTTAGTATCTTTATACCTTTATTTGCTCTTTTTAAACATTTATTGAAATTATAGTTGGGATAATAGGCTTACATAGTTAAAGTTCAGCAGGTGTAAATACTGCATACTAACTACAGCACATACCATAGTTGTGAGTTTGGTCCCCAGGAGGGATCGTGCAGGAGGCAGCCGATGGATGTTTTTCTCTCCCTAAAATTAATAAAAAACAAAAAGAATATGAATGAAAATGTCTCCCTTTGACTCCCTTTTCCCAGCTTTACCGTTTCCCTCCCGAGAGGTAGCCACCAATATTTCTAGTTTCTTGTATATCCTGGAAATAAATATCTTTTGCATATACAAGCATGCCACACACTCATATACGCACATGCATACAGGTGCACATGCAATAACAAAATATTTACCCTTCCATCCCTACTGTTTCCAGTGTTTGATAAGTTACTATTTTTAGTTTCCTATTGGTTATCATTTTCAGTAATATGAGAATGCCTGTCTTTTTTATTCTATCAACAGTAATCAGTATCTTAATTCCTTTTATGTAAAAGAAGAATATCTGGAATCCTGCCATTCCATTTTTTTCTCCCCTCTTCATCCTCTCTAATAAATAGACTTAATGTTATAAATATGAAAATATCACTCAGTGTAGGACCAAGTAGTATGCATAGATGACATTCCTTCTCTATACTTAACTGAGTTATAATCTTGAGCCACTTAAAAAAACAATGTTCTAGTGTCTAGATCAAATGGTTTCTCTTTTCTTACATTCCATCAAACACTTAAAATCATTATCATAGCTTAGTTTGCTTCATATTTAGATTGTAACTTTCTTATATGGCTTTTTTTTTTCATCTTAGAGTTTCTAATTGCCTTTTTTTTCCTTGTTGACAAAAGAATGATGGGCCTTCAACATATCCTCAAGTTTATCCAGCCTCTCAGTCATGCTACCTGTTGCCTGGAGTTCATTTCCCCCCCAAAAGACATCCCTCCTGGAGCTCTCCATCCTCTTGCTCCAGTCTGGACTGGTTGCTCTTTAGGCCTGATGTTCAGCTCAGCCTGGGACTTCCCTACGCTGCCCTCCTGGGTTGGATCCACTGTTTCCTGGATCCCATGTCTTCCTCTTTCTTGGTTTTTCTCCCTTATTTTGCTGGAATGCATAATCAGGTAATTTTCTTAACAATGGGCACATGGGAGTTGTGTACCTTCTGAGTCCTTGCATGTCTAAAATTGTCTTTATTCTGCCCTCATATTTGATTGATGATTCGGCTAAATGTAGATTTCTAAATTCATATTCTCAGAATTTTGAAGATACTGGTTCATTGTCTCTAGTATCCCATGTTTCTAAAGAGAAGACTAATACCAGTTTGATCCCAATTATTTGTAGATGACTTGTTTTTTTCTTTCTGAAGGCTTTTAGGGATATTCTGTTTAACTTTTGATTATTTGAAATTTCACAAGGGTGTGTCCGGTATGGAACTTTTCTCATTCATCTTATCAGTACTCTAGGATTTTTTTTACCATGAGATTTAGGTATTCAGCTCAATGAAATTTTCTTCTATTATTTCTTTGATAATATCTTTCCTTTCATGTTTTCTGTTCTCTCTGGGACTTCAGGTCGTCATATGGTAGACCTCATAGGTTGGTTATCTGTTCCTCTTATATTTTCTCATCTCTCTGCCTTTCTCTCTCTCCCTTCCTTCAGTCTTTCTCTCTGCGTGTCTCTCTCTGCGTGTCTCTCTGTGTGTGTCTCTCACTTTGCCTTAGGAAGATTTCCTCAACTATATCGTCCAGCTTTTTTATTGAGAATTTTTTCAGCAATCATATTTTGAAATATTTATTTTGATTATTCTTTCTTTTGATTATTCTTTTTCATGGCATTTCTGTTCTTGTTTTTAAAATCTCTTATGTTCCCTCAATTTTGTCTTTCTTCCTGCATCAGTTTTTCTATTAAATGCTGCTAGTTTTCCAAGTGTAGTTGGTTTCTTTGGTTGTCTGTTTCTACTTAAGAACAAAGAACTGGTGGCTTGGAGTGCATTTTCTCTCCCTCTGCCATTGTATATGAGAATAGGACATTTGATTGGAGGTTCTGAGTACATGGGCAGGGCAAACTTTGCTTTAGGATGTTTGAGGAAGGTGCTCGTTGTCAGGCTGTGGCCCCCATTGGCCAGAAAAAGGGGGGTAGAAGTTACTTTAGGATGCCCAGAATGAGGACCTCAGTTCTCAAACACTTTAAGTTCTTTACAGAAAAATCCTTCAGGGTGCATTGTGTGAGGTGTGTAAGAGAATAAAGGGACTGATTCTTATTCATGAATACAGATCTTTGTTTAGTTCCATTTCTTCAGCCCTGGTTCTTACTTCTGTTCTCTATCAAATGTGCTCACATCAAGTCAGAGTCTTTCTTGGATCACTCTAGGCAGAGAAACTCCTACCCCCGGTCCAGCCCTCTCCTGGCATATCCTGACCTGTGCATCCAGTTTAGAAGTTTCTAGCCGCCTATTGTTATTGAACATTGAAATAGGCTAATTTGAATTTGAGATGTGCTGTAAGTGTAAAATATACACCAGATTCTGAAGACTTAGTACAAAAAAAAAAGTAAGACATATTCATAATAACGATTATATGTTGCAATGATAATATTTTGCATATATTGAGTTAAATAAAATAGAGTGCTAAAATTAATTGTATCTATTTTTTAATGTGGCTGTTAGACATTTTTAATGTTTGTTGTTGAAAGTATTACAGATGTCCCCTTTTTGCCCCCATTGACCTCTTCTAGCCTGCCCCCCGGAGAAATTTAAATAACATGTGTGACTCTCCTATTTCTATTAGACAGCTCTGCTCTGGACAATGGCTTCCTTCCTCATCTGTCAACATGTTTCCGTCCGCTTTCTAAATTTGTCAAAATCACTTGTGTACTCCTCCCTTTTGTTTTGCTGATATGGATTTACTTCCTACCGCCATGTCTTCGGTGGAAAGGATGGGAGGGAATCTGCCATCTTGTATGAGAAGCTGCTTCTAACTTGTGACCTGTCAGAGCAGTCACTTGCTGTTACCACATAATTTAATAGATCTGTAGTTCTTCTTAGAGGCAAAATCAGGGAGATTTTAAGTACTGGCTCTTAAGTTTGACTGAATCCCTTGTATATATTCATGTAAGTGCCCATCCCCTTATTTTAACAGGGAATCCTAAAGAGTGTTTTGGGAATCCCATTTCAGTCTTCTTTCCTGTCTCATAGAATCACTGGCCTATTTCTTTTTCTAACAAAATTATATCGATATATTCTGAGGCAGGCACCATGCTGGGGGTTGTTGCAAAAATTAAGAGAGCACTTATGAAAACACTAGCATAATGCCTGATTGAACATAGGGAATCAATATAAGCTATGTAACTTAAGGCAAGTTAAGGATACTCAGGCTCACAGAGATTAAGTAACTTGCCCTAAATAATAACATTAGTAAGTGACAGAGCTGGGATTTTAATACTGGCCTATTTGACCCCAAAGGTTATGTTCTCAAGCAAATTCTCTAAGTTGTCTTGCTTAATCTTATCCCAGGGAAAATGGTAGCATCTCCATTTTATTTAATCTCTCTCTATATAAAAGCCTAAGTGACCAAATGACCGGTCACTATGACGCACACTGACCACCAGGGGCAGACTCTCAACACAGGAGCTGCCCCCTGGTGGTCAGTGTGCTCCCACAGCTGGAGTGCCGCTCAGCTGATGGACCCAGTCCGGGTAGCCCACCAGCTTAGTGGCAGCCACTCCCTCCCTCAGTAGTCCTGCAGATCCAATATCTGGAGAACAGGCCAGGCACTGATGGACTGGCCAGCGCCTCCTGCACGATCACACCGGCCTCCTGGAAGTCAGCTTCAGGAACTGTGGCCACTTCCCCTCCCTAGACATTCCACAATGAAGAAATGATATAAAAGTGGCCACTAGGTGGCTCCTGACAACCAGCATAAACAGTGAGATGGATCTGGATCCCAGGCTGCAAGGGTGTCCCACCACCTGCACAGGAGGGCCAATTGCATCCTTCCCCCCCCACACACACACAAACACACACATACCCCTCAGGATGGGTGCCAGACGCAGGGCTCCCAGCTGGCAAGGGCTGCTGCAGTGTCGGAGCCTCTCCCAATCAGGACTGACTGGGCCGAACCTGCAGTGAGCACAACGGGCCGTGATGCATTCATTGGATTCTCAGTTTCGGCCCAATCCCCCCAGGCCACTCTGAGGGATCCCACCCGTGCACAAATTTGTGCACAGGGTCTCTAGTTTTTAAATATAATAAATACTCATAGTATTGATTGATCTCAAAGAGAGAGAGAGAAACATCAATGATGAAAATCTTTTTTTTTTTTTTAATATATTTTTATTGATTTCAGAGAGGAAGGAAAAGAGAGAGAGAGAACCATCCACAATGAGAGAGAATCATGGATCGGCTGCCTCCTGCAAGTCCCCCATTGGGGATCGAGCCCACAACCCGGGCTTGTGCCCTTGACCGAAATCGAACCTGGGACCCTTCAGTTCCCAGGCAGATGCTCCATCCACTGAGCCAAACTGACCAGGGTGATGATGAGAATCTTTGATCGGCTGCCTCTTGCATGCCCCCTACTGGGGATCAAGCCTGAACCCCAGGCATGTGCCCTGACTGGGAATGGAACGGTGACCTCCTGTTTCATGGGTCAACACTCACTGAGCCACACCAGCTGGGCAGCATCCCCATTGTATAGAGTAGAAAGCAAAAACCCAAAGAAGCACATTACCCAAGGACACCCATTTCCCTTGGAACCTCAGAAAATAGGAAATTACTCTAGATAAGAAAATTTAGCATGCTCATTGACCCTGACTTCTGGGTCTGAGGACCTGGGGAAATTGAGAGGGCCCACGCTAAAACAGGAAATGCTTGCAAAGAGCACCTACTATGATGTTCCATGTGCTGTGCTAGGCATTTACCCACTTTGTATAACTATGTACCCTCTTGGCTATGGGTTCGTCTAGTTTTCCCTTCAGGTGAGAGGAGCCAGACACTCAAAACACCCGTGACTAATTAGCTCCAGCCATAACCTAAGAGTACTGCTCAGAGGAAGGGATTTGTACTTTTCCAAGGGCCCATTTCAGTGCATAGCACACAAATATTGTTCCTGACCTGCCCTAAGAGCTGTCTAACATATGTACTCAGCAACTTACACCTCTGTGCTGTGTACGTTTAAAATAAATTACTCAGTATTTATTATCTGTCCTGATCTTTGGTACCAGACTGCCCTGGGATCAATCCCAGCTCTATTACTTCCTTACTAATTGTGAACTTGGGGAATCCACATTACCTCTCTGAGCCAAAAGGGCACAAAACAACAGGACCGAATGCACAGTGTTCTTAGGAGGAACAAAGCGAATGCTTGTAAAGCTCTCAAGACCGTGTCTGGAGCATAGGTGGTACCCAGTTACTGTAGGAATACTGTTCGTAGGCTGTGAGGGCAGGGACACGTCTCTTGCTTCCTGCTATGTCCCTGATACTCGGCACACACTCGATGCCAATACATGTGATGAATGACTGATCATTGGATGGGAGGATGGATGTTAGAAGGATGAGTCAGCTCCCCCTTCAGAAAAGTCAGGAGAGCTATGGCCCAGGGGGGGAGAAGTACTCTCTCAGTGGCTGAGGGTTGGGATCCTGGCCCTCGGGCAGGCCTGTCCTCACCGCCGTCTCCCCCAGCAGGTTTGGGATGTACATTCCATTCCTGCAGCTGAACTGTGACATCCGCAAGACAAACCTCTTCAGCCACATGGCCTCCGTGGGGCCCCGGGAGGCTGTCAGTGGCCTGGCGCGGAGCCGGGACTACCTGCTGACTCTGCGGGAGACGTGGAAGCAGCACACGCGGCAGCTGTATGGCCCGGACTCCATGCCCACCCACGCCTGCTGCCTGTCGCCCAGCCTCATCCGCAGCGAGGTGGAGTTCCTCAAGATGGACTTCAACTGGCGCATGAAGGAAGTGCTGGTCAGCTCCATGCTGAGTGCCTACTACGTGGCCTTTGTGCCTGTCTGGTTCGTGAAGGTGTGCCTCACCCTGCTGCCTGCTCCCCAGGAGACCTCCTGCTTGCATAAATAACAGTACTGTTTTCTGTGAGATCCTGTATGTTCTCTCAAGGGCTACAGTGACGCTGCCTCTATTTTTAGAGTGGAAAGAACGAGGCTCATTGAACGGAAGTGCTCTGCACAGGGTCACCGAGCCCATGAGGAGGACATGCATTGTTCATAATACTTGACAACAGAGAGCAGTGACTTGTGTTTTAATTTGGCTGCTTTGGTACAGGCATGTCACAAGGTCCTGCTTTATCATTAAATCGGAAAGCAGGATTCATCCAGGTCTGAGTGACAGCAGAAGCCTGTGCTCGCTCTCTAGCTTGTGTGGCTTTCTGGGAAAGTATTTTCCCTGCTGACTGTAGGCTTGAAACATGTATCCAAGGATGGACTATACTGAGAATTTGAGGTCGAGGTTTTAAAGTCTGTTGAGCACCTACAATGTGATAGAGCGTTCATGGGCATTATAGACCTCCAAATGCTCCTCAGAGGTGGTTGGTGGTTACTCTTCATTTAACAGATGAGGAAACGAGCATAGAGTAGTGAAATGACTTGCCCAAGGTCACACAGTTACTAAGCAGCAGAGCCAAGATTTGAACTCATGTTTGTTGAACTCCAGAGTCTGTGCCTGGACTCGGGAGCCTGTGCTCTGGCTCAGAGTGGTGGGCAGTGGGAGCAGTTTTTCTTTGTAAAGGACTAAGTAGTGGGCACAGGGTCTAAGCCCATGTTTATGCCTTCTTTGTTGGGTGTTAGATCCTTGGTTTCACGTCACCCTGAGTTCTCTCCAGGTTTGATCTTCAAGGGACATAGAATCAGGGAAGCGGGGAGGAGTGAGGACAGTATGGGCATCCCAGGCCTTTCCCACCTCTTCCTGCCCCCAGAACACACATTACTACGACAAGCGCTGGTCCTGCGAGCTCTTCCTCCTGGTGTCCATCAGCACCTCCGTGATCCTCATGCAGCACCTGCTGCCTGCCAGCTACTGCGACCTGCTGCACAAGGCGGCTGCCCACCTCGGCTGCTGGCAGAAAGTGGACCCGGCGCTGTGCTCCAACGTGCTGCAGCACCCGTGAGTTGCCCTGCCCAACCCCAACCCTCCTGGTCAGTGTCTGGAGTCACTCACCTCTTTGCTCATCAGCGCGTTCATTCAGTCAGCAAAAGGTTATTGAGCATGTCTTGCTTGCTAGACCTTGTGACCAGAGTGGGGAATGGCAGGGCCCAAGATGGACATGTTCCCTGTCCTTAGGTAACATGTAGTGTACTTGAGATGGGAGGGGGGCAGGCAGTAAATGCATGGACTCGTGGACTTTCTCATTCACTATTATTTATTCACCCAGTAACTGGCTTGCTCATGCGTTCATTCCTCAATTCACTCCCTCTACCAACTGCTTACTCATCCATTCAGTCATTTGGTCACCTACTCTTTCAGCAGACGTTTATTTCTACCTAATCCATACCAGGCTTGGTGCCATCTATTGGACAGAGAAGCTTGGCTTTGACCCATAGGCAAAGGAGGGCTACCAAGGGTTTTGAGTAGTGGAGGGGCCAGTTCCAAGGTGTAACAAACTGCTAACAAGATACGGTGTTGTGTTAGCTGATGGTGAATCTTGGACAGGGAAGAAAAAGCAGGGCGGAAATTATTGAAACGGGATCCTTGAGGAGTTCAGTCTGGTGGGGGCGGTAGCTGTGTACATAAATAGGATGAGGGACATGAAAGAGGCCCAGTTCTAGAATATTATTGCACCCAGAACAGAGGCAGAAGTTACTCTGCTTGGGAACCCTGAGGTGCTAGGCTGTCTTCCCCCAGCCTGCTCATTCTTCATGGTGCCCAGCATTTCTGCAGCCTTTCACCACAGTGCATTTCACCCAGGTTACACGGATTTTCCTGCCTGTGTCGCCCCAATAGCCTGAAAGCTTCTCAAGGCAGAGGCCACTTCAGTATCACATCTGAGTCATGGGCCAAGCACAAGGCCTGGCCGAGAGGAGGCCACTAGGACAGGTTTTAGAGGTAGGCCCACTTCAAAGCAGAGATGCAAAGGGAGCCGAAACCGGTTTGGCTCAGTGGATAGAGCGTCAGCCTGCGGACTCAAGGGTCCCGGTTTCGATTCCAGTCTAGGGCATGTACCTTGGTTGCGGGCACATCCCCAGTAGGGGGTGTGCAAGAGGCGACTGATTGATGTTTCTCTCTCGATGTTTCTGACTTTCTATTCCTCTCCCTTTCTCTCTGTAAAAAATCAATAAAATATATTAAGGGGGGTAGAAATTGATTTTAAGAGAGAAAGGGAGAGAGAGAGAGAAACATCTGTATGGGAGCAAAACACCAATTGGCTGTCTCCTGCATGCCCTCCACCAGGGATTGAGTCCCCAACCTGGGCGAGTGCTCCGACTGGGAATCAAACCAGCAGCCAACCTTTCAATGCCTGGGATGCTGCCCACCCACCTGAGCCACATCAGCCAGAGCTGAAAAGTATAAATCTTAAAATGTATAATTCTTTGAGTTTTGATAAAGATGTGTCACCCATGTAATCTAGCCTCTATTAAGATACAGAATAGCCGAAACCGGTTTGGCTCAGTGGTAGAGCGTCGGTCTGCGGACTGGAAGGTCCCAGGTTCGATTCCGGTCAAGGGCATGTATCTGGGTTGTGGGCACATCCCCAGTAGGGGGTGTGCAAGAGGCAGCTGGTCGATGTTTCTCTCTCATCGACGTTTCTAGCTCTCTATCTCTCTCCCTTCCTCTCTGTGAAAAATCAATAAAATATATTAAAAAAAAAAAAAGAAAAAAGATACAGAACATTTCCAGCCCCTTAGAAAATGTCCTAGTGATCCTTCCCAGTGTCCACCCCAGCTGTCTTTTCACTTTCTTTCACAATCAGTTAGTTTTCTGTTCTGCAACTTCATGTAAGTGAAATCTTGAGTCCAGATTCTTTAATTCAGCATATTATCTGTGAGATTAATTTATGTTATCGCATGTAAATAACTTTTTTAAAATGAATGAATCAACAAGGCAGGAGCATGAGATTGAGCTTCAGATGAAGAAGATTCACCTAGGGAAGGAAAAAGATTTTCTTGACACTCCCTCTGGCTTTAACATAAGCCCCAGACCTTGCGACTGCCAGTACAGTTAATTTCTCGTGGTTCTTACCCCATTTTACAGAGGAGACAACTGACACCCAGAAAGGGGAACTCACACTGCTAAGCCAGAAATGAGAGCAGAGCCCTGGTGGTTTCTGCTCATGCCCAGTCTGCGGGTGCCCCCTTTTGTGGGTGAGCTGGGCATAAAGGGCATTGTTGGGCTTTGCCTCCAGGTGGACTGAAGAATGCATGTGGCCGCAGGGCGTGCTGGTGAAGCACAGCAAGAACGTCTACAAAGCAGTGGGTCACTACAACGTGGCCATCCCCTCCGATGTCTCCCACTTCCGGTTCCACGTGAGTCTCTTCCCCTGGGAAGCAGGGTTGGGGCCTGATCCAGAGGGCAGGGGGATCAGAGGGGCAGGAAGGGGATAACATAACAAGAGAGTTATTTTTAGGTATTTCCCAAATCCCAAGGAGGACAGTGCACGCATGCAGAACAAGGACAGCCACGTCAACTAGCACTTCAAAACTGCAGCTCGCTTGGTAGCAGATCATTGAAATACTGGGTGGAGGTGGGAAAGATAATACAATCAAAGGAAGGGTTCTTAGCGATGAAAATAATAACTATCATCATTCCTGTTGTATGCCAGACACTGTGGTAAGCACTTCCCATGCACCCTTCCACCAGTCTATCAGAATTTGTGTGTATGGGAGAAACGCCAGGGCTCTCCGCATTCTCAGATACTAAAATCAGCTTAGAGAGTTTCAGTTGTTCAAGGGTGCCTTCCTGGGAAACTTGAGAACTGGAGGTAACACTCTGGAAAAGGGCTGTTCAAAGTAACCTAGGCTAGTGGTCTTCTTTTTATTTATTTTTGCTATCAAAATCCTTGTCCAATACAGTCACAGACTAAAGTCCAATGTATAGGACCTCATGGCACTGCTCTGTTTGCAAGGGTTGGAACTCCTTTCACTCCCACTCACCGCTGCTATTGTCCCTAAATTAGCCTCCTCGGAACCTGGTGCTCTAAGGAACACAGTCCGAGAAGTCATTGATCTGGGTAATCTCTTCCTTTCACTGTAGAGAAACCTAAGGCCAGACAGGAAGGGACTTACAGTACAGATTAGGCCCAAGGTCCCAGAAGCCTCTCAGGTTCCAAAGCTGAGCCTGGCATACTGGTCTCTTGGACTCCCATTTCCTGCTACTTCTATCCTGTAAGCAGTTCCTAAGGTTTAGGTACCTTTCTTCTTGCAAAATCTGGATCCCTAGACATTGATCACTCTTTTGAATTGACCAGAAATTTTTTCCTGCACTCTACCTTGCCTGGTAAACAGCAGGTAAGGGTGAGGTTACAATGTTCCCTGGAAGCTTCTGGCCTAGCTGGCCAATGCTATGCATGAAGTAATTGGTGACTCAGGCTGTAGAGTCTGTGATTCTGCCTGTATAATAAAAGCCTAATATGCTGAGTATCCAGTCGGCTGGTCGGCCATTCAACCAACCAAAGCGTAATATGCTAATGATATGCTAAGGCTGCTCAACTGCTTGCTATGACATGCACTGACCATCAGGGGGCAGACAGTCAACCTGTTGACCAGTTGCTATAACGTGCACTGATCACCAGGGGGGCAGATGTTCTGACAGATAGGTTAGCTTGCTGCTGGGGTCCAGCCAATTGGGACTGAGCAAGACAGGCCAGAAACACCATGGAGCCCTCCCGAGGCCCCTCGCTGGCTGGCCAACCTCCCGCATCCCTCCCTGAACCGATCATGCACTGGTGTGGCCCCTCCGCCTGGCCTGCAACCTCTTGCAATCCAGGACCCTTCAGGGGATGTCAAGGAACCACGTTCATCCCAATCCCGCAGTCCAGGCGAATTCATGCACCAGGCCTCTAATATGTCATAAGATTCTAATTGGTTCAGGTCTTACAATACCCAGGAAGATCATATACAAAATCTGGTCTGATTTTAGACCAGAAAAAGTTTGAGAGAGCAACCAAGACCTCTCAAGAAAAGCTTCCTGGAGAAAGTAGAAGTTGAATAGGCTCTTAAACAACATTATGTGGGGAGCAGTAGTCTTGACAGAAGGAACACCACAAGCAAAGGCAGAGAGGGTGCAAAGTCAGTGCCCAACCGTCTGAAGTTTTCCTTCCCAGCCCACTCTGCATGGGGCCCCAAGAGCTCGTTCCCTTCACTGGCCCACCAAGAGGCAGGTTTCCAGAGAGTGCTTTCCGGTCCATCCACTCTTTCCTGGGCAGTTCTTTTTCAGCAAACCTCTGCGGATCCTCAACATCCTCCTGCTGCTGGAGGGTGCTGTCATTGTCTACCAGCTGTACTCCTTAATGTCTTCCGAAAAGTGGCACCAGACCATCTCACTGGCGCTCATCCTCTTCAGCAACTACTACGCCTTCTTCAAGCTGCTGCGGGACCGCCTGGTGCTGGGCAAGGCCTACTCGTACTCGGCCAGCCCCCAGAGGGACCTGGACCACCGGTTCTCCTGAGCCCAGGGCAAGCCCAGGGACGGCATCCAGGCTTCAGCCCGGGGACCCCTGGGAAGGGGCTGTTGGGGAGGGGGGGGGAGGGGAAAATCCCAAAAACTGACAAAAAAAAACCCACCAGAGCTTTGTATTTTTGTTACATACTGTTTCTTTCTTTGATAATTGATATGATTATGAGGAAAAAAAGTCCTATTTTTATACTCCTAATAAGCTTGTGTCCTGAGTTTCTTTCCCTTCTCGCCTGTCAGGCAGAGTGCAGTGGTGTGTGATTCTGGGCCAGGAAACCCCATGTGTGTCTTCTGAGGACTGTGGGCTCTGCCTTCTCCAGTGGATGGGAAACAAGGCACCAGAGGTCATGGTAGCAATGAAAACTGCTGCCTACTGAATGCTCACTGTGTATCAGATGCTGCTTTATGTGTATTACAGGCCTTGTCTTAATCCAACCTTTATGACAACCTTAGGAGGTGGGTGCTGTCACTCTAGTCCATAGATGAAGAATGAGCTCAGAGAGCTATAGTGACTTGCCCAAGGTAACACAGCTAGGATAGAACTGGGGGGAAAACAAAAAACAAAAAACACAAACCCTCCAAAATATGACACCACTATGCTAGCAGGATGTGATGTCCTGATTCAGCATGCAGTTATGGCAACCTGTTCTGTGCCAGGTGTTGGAGATGGTGAGGATGCCAAGACACAGAAACAAGTCATACTGCACTGGGATGGTTTTAACAGTTACAAGGTACACAGTAGCACAGGGGAAACAATGTTTAAAATATATTTTTTATTGATTTTTCACAGAGAGGAATGGAGAGGGATAGAGAGCTAGAAACATCGATGAGAGAGAATCATCGATCAGCTGCCTCCTGCACAACCCGTTCAGGGGATGTACCCACAACGAATGTACATGCCCTTGACCGGAATCGAACCCGGGACCCTTCAGTCCGCAGGCCGACGCTCTATCCACTGAGCCAAACTGGTTTCAGCAGGGGAAACAATGTTTAATGTCCTCTGGCCTTGTTGGAGGATGGGATAGCCTGAGTTGCATCAGCTACTTCCTAGGTGGACAAGAGGGCAAAGGCACTTGAAGCAGAGAAAAGGGCATGTGCGATGGCACAGATTAGGGATATCCTGGTGGATTTGGGGAGGGTAACCAGGATGTGGTTCCTTAGAACAGAACAGATAAGGAAAGTGGGGTGGGATGAGGCTGAAAAGGTACAGAGAGCCTGGGAGGATCAATGGCTCCAGATAAGAGTTTCTGAGCAAGGCCAAGTGCTAGAGTGGAAACAAAAAGCGGCTTGGAGGGCCACCTGCTTCCTATGGGACATAACTCGTGCTGGGAGGAGAGACAGTCATAGCTGCACATCTAGTCCGCCTGAGTTCCCTGAGCCCTTTGGCCACAGGATATGCAGATGAGTCCACAGAGGTATATGGCAGAGACACTGCTACAAATGTTTTTGGCGTCTTTGTTGATGCAGGAATTGTACCAGGCACTGAGACAGCTACAAAGATGAGGAAGATACAACATAAGAATGCCCAAACCTGTAGAGAAAATTTTTTTAGTTATATAGCATTTGCTTCATTTCATTTATGTCGAGAGTTGTGTGTTTTTATTTTTTATTTTTATTTTTTAATATATTTTATTGATTTTTCACAGAGAGGAAGGGAGAGAGATAGAGAGCGAAACATCGACCAGCTGCCTCTTGCACACCCCTTACCACGGTTGTGCCCACAACCAATGTACATGCCCTTGCCCGGAATCGAACATGGGACCTTTCAGTCCACAGACCGATGCTCTACCACTGAGCCAAACCGGCTTCGGCGAGTTGTGTGTTTTTAAAAATATATTTTTACTGATTTCAGAGAGGAAGGGTGAGGGAAAGAGAGAGAAACATCAATGATGAGAGAGAATCATTGATTGGCTGCCTCCTGCATGCCCCCTACTGGGGATCCAGACCAAAACCTAAGCATGTGCCCTTGATATAATTGAATCCAGGACCCTTCATTCCATAGGCTGACCCTCTATCCTCTGAGCCAAACCAGCTAGGGCTTGAGAGTTTTTGTAAGAGTTTATTGAGGCCTCATGGCCCTCCTCCGGGTCCTGTGCCACCTGCAGTTGTCAGGGTTTGTTGGGCTACTTTGTCCTGTGGAGTTGGGTGGGCAGAGCCACAGCTAACCTGTAGCAGGTTGGGGTTCCAGCCCCACCCCACCTATAGGGGTGAGAGCCGATACCGACGGACCTTGGGCATGTGAAGTTTGTCTTCAACATCTGCGGAGGGGGCCGTGGCCTGAGCTCTAAGCGCAGACCTGCGCCTCCCAGGAGGCTCCAGAGACAGTGCCCCCAGTGAACAGCTTCAGGCCACATGGAAAAACCACCAACCACCACCACAGTGACACATCAAGAGGCAAAACCGGTTTGGCTCAGTGGATAGATTGTCGGCCTGCAGACTGAAGCATGTCAGGTTCGATTCCTGTCAGGGGCATGTGCCTTGGTTGCAGGCACATCCCCAGTGAGGGGTTGTGCAGGAGGTGGCTGGTCGGTGGTTCTCTCTCATTGATGTTTCTGGCTCTCTGTCCCTCTCTCTTCCTCTCTGTAAAAAAATCAATAAAATATATTAAAAAGAAAAAAAGATTCAGGGGGCAACAGAGCCCTGTTGAAGTGTATGCTGCTCTGGGGGGCAGGCCCCTGCACACCTGATCTTTCACGGTGGTTGGTGGTGGCAGCCAGTCCTTGCAGCGGATTGGCCTGGGGGTAAATCCCTCCCATTGATGTGCCAACAGCAATCAAGATTCAACTATAACAAGAGGGTATACATAGCCCACAGGTGGGAAAGGGTGCAACTAGAGTGCCCAGCTTGGGTGATCAAGGAGGCTGGCCCATTGGGTCCCACAGGACATCTACTGCAACAGGCTACTCTACCAAGCCTGGGAGACACAGCAGCTCTACCCAATGCATAGAAACAAACACAGGGAGGCTGCCAAAACGGGGAGACAAACACGTCCCAAATGAAAGGACAAAAAAAAGAACCCAACTAAACGGAGACAAGCAATCAACTAGATGCAGAGTTCAAAACACTGGTTATAAGGATGCTCAAGGAACTTAATGAGAACCTCAACAGCATAAAAAAGTTCTGGCCCGGCCACCATGGGTCAATGGTTGAGCATCAACCTATGAACCTGGAGGTCACGGTTGACCCTGGTCAGGATATGTGTCCAGGTTGTGGGTTTGATCTCCAGTGTGGAGCATGCAGGAGATAGCTGATCCATGTCTCTCTCACTTTTGTTTTGTTTTTGTTTTGTTTTGTTTTTTAAGAAACAGCTCTAGCTTAATGGATAGAATGTCGGCCTGTGGACTGAAGAGTCCTGGGTTTGATTCCGGTCAAGAGTACATGCCTGAGTTGTGAGCTCAGTCCCCAGTAGGGAGCGTGCAAGAGGCAGCCAATCAATGGTTCTCTCTCATCATTGATGTTCCTAGCTCTCTTTCTCCCTCCCTCTCTAAAATCAATAAAAATAAAAATATTAAGAAAAAAAGAAATAGAAATGAAGGATACACTGAAATAAATGAAGGATATACTGAAATAATGAAATAAATGAAGGATATAAATGAAATAATGAAGGATACACTGAAATAAACTATAATTTACAGGGAATCAACAGTTGAGTCCATGAAACCGAGAAGCAAATCATTGACTTGGAATGTAAGGAAGTAAAAAACACTCATTCAGAAAGGAAAAAAGAATAATAAAAAAAATGAGGATAGTATAAGGAGCCTCTGGGACAACTTACCAACTTTGCCATCATAGGGGTGCAGGAAGAAGAAGGGAGAAAGCAAGAAATTGAAAACCTATTTGAAAAAATAACAGACTTAACTGATTTCGCTCAGTGGATAGATTGTTGGCCTGTGAACTGAAGGGTCCCAGGTTTGATTCCAGTCAAGGTCATGTACCTTGGTTGTGGGCACATCCCCAGTGTGCAGGAGGCAGCTGATTGATGCTTCTCTCTCATTGATGTTCCTAACTATCCTCCCTTTCTCTCTGTAAAGAATTAATAAGTATATTTTTTAAAAGAAAAAAAAGGAGAAAATTAGTTAATTATCTATAAGGTAACTCTTATAAGACTGTCAGCTCATTTCTCAAAAGAAACTGTAGGCCAGAAAGGATAGGTAAGAAATATTCAAAGTAATGACAAGCAAGGACCTACAACAACTAATATTACTCCACCTTCAAAGCTATCATTTAGAATTGAAGCACAGATATAGGCTTCACAGACAAGAAATAGCTGCCCTGGTTAGTGTCATCCAGTGCACCAAAAATTTGCTAATTTGATTCTCAGCCTGTGTATCAGATTGAAATTTGGGGACATTACCTAAGGAGGGACAGTAGGAAGTTATGAAGTTGTTAAACATAGATATGACATGATAAGGTATCTGCTTTTTTGTTGTTGTTAATCCACACCTCTATTGATTTTTTTTTTTTTTTTCTGAGAGAGAATGGAAGGTGCCTCCCACACGCCCTTGTCTGTAATTGACCCTGAGACCCTTCAGCCCACTGCTCTATCCACTGAGCCAAACCAGCTAGGGCAAGGTATCTGCTTTTAAGAAGATGATTAGGTTGCGAGTGGGAAAACTTGGGGCCAGGGAACCAGTGAGGAGGCAGGCAAAACAGAGCAGAAGATACTGAAGAGGTCTGACCTTGAGTAGTGGCAGTAGAAAGAGAAAGATACTATTATTCCCTTTCCCAACCCTGAGTTTTAAAGTCAGCTTATTTATTTATTTATTTATTATATATTTTATTGATTTTTTACAGAGAGGAAGAGAGAGATAGAGAGTTAGAAACATTGATGAGAGAGAATCATCAATCAGCTGCCTCTTACACACCCCCTACTGGGGATGTGCCCGTAACCAAGGTACATGGCCTTGACCGGAATCGAACCTGGGACTTTTCTGTCGGCAGGCCAACGCTCTATCTACTGAGCCAAACCGGTTTCTGCAAAAGTCAGCTTTTTTAGTTGTTTCCCTTAATTGGAGAGCACAGAAGTAGAGCTGCTGGCAATTTGTTGTGACAGAATCCTGAAGCCCAGATCCCACATTCTGCTTCCAAAAGACAGCTTCCTCTTGGGACCAGTGACTTGAATCATAGCTTTCCTGTGTGTTGAGGTGAGGAACAGGACTGGCCTGTCATGCAAAGAGAGAGGCCTAATGTGTACTGGTCATAAAATGTCATGATTCAAAAGGCATGACAACACTCAAGGCTCCCATTTTCTCATCTCTAAAAAGGGAAATCACTTTCCATGCTTTGTGTGACTCACAGACCTGTTCCTTTGTTTAGTCATTCAACAATTATGTACGGAGCACAGACCATGTGCCAGATACTGTAGTAGGTGTTGGGAGATAGTGATGAGAAATACAGAACTGACCTCTGCCCTCAGAGAACTTGCTGAGAAAATAAGCGAAATATAGTAGCTCTGCCAACTATAAAGCACTGCACTGGTCTCATTTTTCTACTTTTTAACTCCCAATAAGATTGTAATCCTGTTTAACTCTTGACTTATTTTCTTATCTCTATATCCTTGAGCAAGTCATTTCGCCTCTTCAAGTGACTGTTTAATTCATATCCAGTGCAAGGTCTACGATTGGCTTTCATATCAACCTCTCTCCACCCACCCTTTTCACAGTGCATCCCTATTCCCCGCCTTTCGAAGCTGCAGCCCCTTTAAACGCGCTCCTGTGTGTGAGCTCCCCTGCAGGGCGGAGAGCGCGTTTCTTCGCGGGCTTGCACGCGAGGTTGTTTGTCCGTTTGGGGCTGCCGTCCTGCGGGTCCGCCATATTGTCTGCTGAAGCTGCCGCCGAAGCCGCCGCCGCCGCCGCCAAGTAGGAGCGAGCGGAGCCGCGATGGGTGAGTGAGGAAACCAGGCACTGGGGACTCCAGCCGAGGCGGTCTCGGGGTTTGGGGTCCGGCGACAGCCTGTCTGCCATCCGCAGAGGATGTGTGAGGCCCCTCCAAGCAGGTTCTGGGGAGCAGCCAGGCCGGCAGCGCTGCTCGGGCCATGTAGGGACCCGGCTAGGGCCCCTGGCGGGGAGCAGCCTTCGGGGGCTGGTTCCGGGAAGGCTGCCACGCCTGGAGCCCCCACGTGGTGGCCCTGGGCCGGCGCCCACGCCGCCCCGGGGGCTAGAAAGGGGCCGACCCTCCGGCCTGCGCGGTGGGGGCCGGGACGCAGGGCCGGGCTCCCCGCCGCAGGCCCGGGCGGGGCCGCGGGAGCCTCCTCCCGGCGTGTGTCTCACCGACGCGCATCCTGACTGTGCCCAGTGGCTCCCCCGGACGGAGGGAAACCCTACCTGCGTGGCGGGCAGCGTCCTCCCTCTGGTGCGGAGGCGCCAGGCGAGCCAGCCGCAGGCCTGCAGCCCAGGGCAGCCATGCCAAAGGCGGCAGCGCGGGCGGCCGGAGGCCTGGAGAACTCCCAGCCCGGGCGGAAATGGGGCGGTTCGGTGGGGCCGAGTGACAGCCTTCGGGGTGGTAGGAAACCAAAGGCCAACAACACCTTGTGGCCATCTGTAGGTCGGGGACTTAGGAGGAAAAAGCGACCTGTTGCTCTTTCTTAAGGGACTCCGGCTGGCAAGGCTTGTTTGTGCTCAGGGGAGCTACGATAGCAAAGCTTTTGGGCTTAGGGACAGAAACATCTGGTATTTCCTCTCCAGAAAAAAATAAAAGATTTGCTGAGCACTTTCTATGTGCAGGTATTGTTCTGAGTGTTTAGATGTCACGTTTTACTTACTATGCACACCCTAATGAAGTAGGTACTGCTAGTATCCCTATTTTACAGGTAAGGAAACTGAGGCTTCCAGAGGTAAGGTAACTTACCCAAGGTCACAGGGTGCCTAAAACAGGGTGATTTCTCCAGAACCCTCGTTATTAGCCTGGCCCCCTAGTGGTTGGGCTGGAAAAGGGTGAAAGAAAGCTTTTAACCTGACAAAGTTGTAAGGGTGGGTGGGTGGGTGTTTTTTGCTAGCCCGACCTTTGTAAGACCCCTGATCCTGAGAAAACAAATGATTACCTTGAGCTGCAAGGCAATGACTACAGAATCAAGTCTGGTATCACAATTCCTGTTGCTTTCTAGCTCTCATCCACTTAGGTGTTGAATGCAGTTATACATATGGAAAGCATCTAGCATATCCTCAATAAATGTTCTTTTTCTTTTTGAGTCTTCATTTCCTCATCTCTAGAAAGAGTAAGGAGGCAGTGTTATCACGGTGTTTGAGAAACAAAAGAAATAACACAGTGTTGAAAGCCTAGTAAGAGCTCCATAAGTATCAGAACGGATATTTTCCACCTTCAATAATGTTAGTTCCACCGAAACCGGTTTGGCTCAGTGGTAGAGCGTCGGTCTGCGGACTGAAAGGTCCCGGGTTCGATTCCGGTCGGGGGCATGTACCTTGGTTGCGGGCACATCCCCGGTAGGGGGTGTGCAAGAGGCAGCTGGTTTATGTTTCTGTCTCATCGACGTTTCTGGCTCTCTATCTCTCTCCCTTCCTCTCTGTAAAAAATCAATAAAAATATATTTTAAAAAAAAATAAAGTTAGTTCCTTTTTTTTAAGTGCTCTGGTTTCCAGAATCCTCGATTAAGGCTGGTATGCCTTTCTTTGTAACTGCTGCTTTAAGTATTGAAAAATTTTAGGGGCTTTAATATTACAGATTTTTAAAAAAATATTTTTTATTGATTTTTCACAGAAAGGAAGGGAAAGAGAGCTAGAAACATCGATGAGAGAGAAACATTGACCAGCTGCCTCCTGCACACTCCCCACTGGGGATGTGCCCACAACCAACGTACATGCCCTTGACCGGGATCGAACCTGGGACCCTTCAGTCCGCAGACCGCCAAACCAGTTTTGGCTAATGTTACAGATTTTGTATTGTCCTTCAAATTCAGGAATATTGATGCCTCAAAGTGAAGGAGCTAACGTTTAGTTTAAGTTCAGTGAAATAAATTTGGTGGCGACTTACGCCCATTTTTACAGGTTGAGAAACTACCTCAGAGAAGATAACACAGTAAGTAGTAAAGCCAGAAGTGAGATTCTTACCTGTTTTGCTGCACATAAACCTCTTGAAAGACTTAAGGTGTGAAGTAAAATAGTCCTTTTCCAGTAGACTTTGAAAGTGGAGCAACAAAACCTGACCAAAGACCTGAAAGGAGTTTTTCTTTTTTTAATATATTTTTATTGCTTTCAGAGAGAGAGAGAAGCATCAATGATTTGAGTCATTGATTGGCTGCCTCCTGCACAACCCCCACCAGGGACCCAATCCAGGCCTGTGCCCTGGAGTCCACAGGCTGATACTCTACGGAGCCAAACCAGCTAGGGCCTGGAAGGGATTTTTAATCTAGAGTCAGACTGCCTCTCCTTGTCTCTCCAACTCCATTTCAGGTACCTCTCCCTGTCCTACCTTGTCTTTCCGACCTTCCAGCTGTTGTGGGGTTTTTTGTTTGTTTTGGCTGGTCCTTATACCATGGGAGTGACACTAGTATAAGGATACATTTAATCCTAACATCAAATCTGAGTTACTAGTTTATACAATAAATGAGTAAACTGAGGCGTTGAGATTAGGTGATGGTCCAAGGCTGGTGGCCTGCACCACACCCACAGGAATCTGTTGTATTTCGCCGTCTCTCTGTGTACTCTCCTTGAGCTCTGGCCTCTATCCGATGCTGCTTCTCCTGTGCCAAACTTCACTAGCCTTCTCAGACCTTTGTAGTGATTTCACTGCCATTAGGAACCCTGTTACTTATTCTAACCCTCCCTGGCAGAGACCATAACCTCTCAAGACTTAAGTGTTAGCAGACACTGGTGGTTTTATCACCATTCCTGCCACCTAGCTAACCCGGAATCTGGCAGCCCCTCCCCAGCCCCAGGGATAGGTCTTGATTAATATAAACTCTAAACCAATCATTGTAATTCTAGATCCCTACGCAGTGATTGATTTAGGCCTGGGCTAATTAGATGTGAAGGGAAATCTGGGTGACTTCTGGAAAAGCTTTCTTTACTTAAAAAGAGATTTGCCATGTTTTATTTATTATTTTTGTCAGCTTATATTTTAATCCAGATATCACCAATCAACTTCAAAAAGAGATAGCTGAGCCGGGACCGGTTTGGCTCAATGGATAGAGCATCGGCTTGGGGACTGAAGGGCCCCGGGTTCGATTCCGGTCAAGGGCATGTACCTTGGTTGCGGGTATATCCCCATTAAGGGGTGTGCAAGAGGCAGCTGATCGATGACTCTCTCTCATTGATGTTTCTAATTATCTCTTTCCCTTCCTCGCTGTACAAAAATCAATAAAATATATTTAAAAAAAAAAGAGATAGCTGAAAAAGCTATAATAATAGCCAAAAATTATATAGAACTTTCTATGTGCTAGGCACTAAGTACCATATTATGTATATATATTTTTTGAGGTCTAAATGCCTAACATCTAAGTACTGGAATATTGACTCAATTAATTCTCAGATTCTCATGTTCTAGTTGAGGAAATTGAAGCACAGAGATTCAGTAACTTGTGAAAGTTCAGAAATAGCAAATAGAGGAACTACTTACTCAGGTGGTGTGGCTCCAACCAAAATATGGGCTCTCTAAAGGAAAATGATCTGCCTCTGGAAAGGAAAGCCCTTTCTAACTCTGAAATTGCCATTAGCAATGCTAGGATCATGAGCAGAATTTATAAGAATAGGCTGTTGTTAGGGTGAGGGTAGAGAAGATGGAAAGAATCTGATCTCATGTTTTTGAATCATTGGATTAGCCAACTTTGGAACTGTCCTGTCTTTGCCCTTAAATAGTATACTGAAGACCACTTTTAGGTGCAAGTAACCAACCCTCTCTAACTGTAATAACCTTCTAGGTCAGGAAGTCATTTAGCCCATCTTTTCTTTTGTTACCTCCAGCCTTACCTACCCTACCGTTCATAACAGCTTCTTGCAGAGAAGGCACCAAACTATCAATCACTATCTAACTATCTCACAAGCACCAAACTCACTCCTCCTACTTGGATTTCTTTTACTGCATTTTTTTTTTCTTAAATATATTTTTATTGATTTCAGAGAAGGAGGGAGAGATAGAAACATCAGTGATGAGAGAGAATCATTGATTGGCTGCTCCCTGTATGCCCTCTACTGGGGATTAAGCCTGAAACTTGGGCATGCGCCCTTGATTGGAATTGACCGTGGACCCTTCAGTCTGCAGGCCAATGCTCTATCCACTGAGCCAAACCGGCTAGGGCCTTCATTTTTGTTAGTGGTGGCCGTTGACCCACACACTAGGGCATAAGATAGAAACCATATCTACCCTGTTTCCCCAAAAATAAGGCAGTGTCTTATATTAATTTTTGCTCCCAAAGATGCGCTAGGTCTTATTTTCAGGGGATGTCTTATTTTTCCATGAAGAAGAATACGGTACACATTTATCGTTAAATGAAAATAAAGGAAGTTTATTACCTGTATACGGTACAGTAGTACGGTAGTTGTCAACACAAACCAGACAAACTGTGAATCCTACAGTATCAAGAATTTATTCATTTATTCAATGACAATCATGTCATTATATTCTGGAACATCATCATAACAATCCAATTCCTGAATTTCCTCGTGAATTTCTTGTGACTCCATTTCTTTCAGAATCAGTGGACCAAATCTCTCATGTTTAGCCTAGGGGAGGCCTTATTTTCGGGGGGATGCCTTATATTTCACTCAGAAGGAAACCTGTAAGTAGGTCTTATTTTCGGAGGATGTCTCATTTTCGGGAAAACACGGTATCTTTGGTTTCTTGTTTCTTGCCTTTCTATATATACTTGTTCTAAGGCCTTGGAAATACAGTGGTGAACAAAACAGACAAAAATCTATCTTCCTATTGAAATC